TACAACGGTCTTATATGTTTATTTCATTTCATGTGTTTATAGGAATATGTTTTGTTTTGCCTTGCTTTGTTTTGTTTCTCCCTCTAATATAGAAAGGATAGAAATACATGTTAAGACTCATACATGTGTAGAACCTATAAACAGTTTATGAGAACTGATCTTATGACATATGATGAAATGACAGATACTTTGAAGAAAAAGAGACACTAAAATACCCAGTGCTGATCCTGGAGTGTCATAAGGTGAAACCCAGCAATAGTATTATTCTTTGTTCCGAGTGATATCAGCCTGTTTGGGTTTATTTAAACTCAACATAATTGAATATATAGACAACTGCATGTATGTTTAAATGTATAAGATTGATAACCATATTTCTAAGTTTTTGTTGAATAGTTGAACAGAACCGGTTGCAATCTCACTGTTTGAGTCCCCACTTTATATGCTCCACTTTAGTATCTTGAATAACTATTTGTAAGAAGACAATCTGTAATCATCAACTAGTGATTTCTTACTGTTTATTTTTTCTTTTGAAATTATGTATTATATTATTTCTACCTGTTTTCTGTTTTGTTTAGTCTTTAAATTAAATTTAAAAAAAACACACTATAGTACCCAGTGCTGATCATAGAGTGTCATGTTGTGAAATTCAGCAATTCTATTATTCTTTGTTCAGAATGATTTTAACCTGCTTTAGTTTGTTTAATCTAAATATAAATGAAGATACGGATAACTGCATGTATGTTTAAGTGTATAGTACTGACAACCTGTTACCATGTTTTTGTTGGACAGTTGAACAGAACTGTTTGCAGCCTCGCTTTTTGAATTCCCACTTTACGTGTTCCATTTTTGTATGTTGAACAACTATTTGTAAAACGACAATATGTAAATATCAACTAGTGATTTCTTACTGTTTATTTTTTTCTCTGAACGTATGTATTATTTCTACCTATTTTCTGTGTTTAGTCTTTCTGTAAATAAAATTTTAAAAAAACCAACAAAAAAATTGCTCAAAACCAAACATCAAAGACAAAAGACCCTCTATCTCCCGTAGGCTTTTAGATCACAGAATAAAAGTTGAAATCCTTGGGGCTGGGGATTTAGCTCAGCATAAGTGCCTGCCTTACAAGTGTGCGGTTTGATCCCTGGTACTGATACAAAAAGAAAAAGACAAAAAAAAAAAAAAAGTTGAAATCCTTAAAGTGACCTACAATTGTATGAGATTTAGCACCCGGTTCTCCTGACTTCCTCTCCTGTTACTTTGCTCTTGCTCACTGTGTTCCAGCCGGAGTGGCTGCTCCGGTTCCCAGAACACAGGAAGTGAGTTTCCAGTCCAGATCTTTATCCTTGTTCTTTCGGCCTGGATTCTTTTTTTCTCCTAGATACCTACCTGGGTATATTCTTTACATCTTTCAGGTTTTTACTCAGATATTAACTTTTGAGTGAAGCTTTCTCTTGTCATTTTCTAAACTTCAATTACAAATAGTTTTTTGATGTTACTGGGGCTTTTGCACTGAGCTGCATTCCCAGCCCTTTTGTTTTGAGATAGGGTCTTTCTAAACTGATCAATTGGGCTTGAGGTTGCAATCTCCCTTGTCTCCCAGACAACTGCAATTAGACAACCGCCACCATACCTGGCTCAACTATGAATACTTCTACACCCTTTCCTTGCTTTATTCTTCTTAGCACTCACTAGCACGTTTTTACAATGTGAGCACCATGAGAACACATTCTCACAGTATATTTTTAGTTTGTTTTAGATGCTGCTGTATCCCCAGTACTGCGAATAAATGCTAAATATTTATTGAATGAATGAGTGAAAGCCCATTCATGTAAGGAGTACACATGAGGACTTGTTACTGTTTCCCTGATTCCCAAGCTCGTATTTGATACCTCTCTGAAAATTCTGACATCCTTTTATTTTAATTTTCCAAAAAATAGGAAGCTCATTTAATAAATCATACTATGTTGTCATACAATTAAAAAGTACAGCTACTTGGAATTTTTTTTGAAGCAGGCCTTGAATTCACTATGTATCCCAGGTTGGCCTCAAACTTCCAGCAATCCTCCTGCCTCAGCTTCCACAGTTCTGGGATCACAGGTGTGTGTCACCATGGGCCACCTATAATTTTAAAGATATAGGAAACTGTTCTAATGGTTGATACATTGTTTCAACTTGAGGATTGGGAAATTTAGAAGCTTAACTAGGTGACTCAGCAGAGGGCCAGAGTCCTCACTTTGTAGCCTGTGCCAACAGGAAGGCTTGGAGATGGTGTGGGTGGATGACTGCTTGCAGTTTAAGGGAGGAAAAGAGGCTTGTTCATTTTTCTTTTTTGTCATTTTGAGAGACTCTCACTATGTAGTTCAGGCTGGCCTTGAGCTCACTTTGTAGCCCAGGATGGTCTCAACCTTGCAACAATCCTCCTGCTTCAGCCTCTCAAGTGCTGGGATTATAGGTGTGCACCAGCATGCTCAATACTATCTCCACTTTTGGAGATTTTAAGAAATTCATATTTTTTGTGTCTATTCTTTCAAATTATTCTTTTTTGTTTTTTCCCCAAATTCATTTTATTTCAAAGAGAAGAAAAGACAAAATAATTTTTCTACAGTGGTACAGTTTAAACTTTTATTGTGAATATGTAATGCTTTTAATTCAGCAAGACATTCAGAAATAAAAATCTTACTTTTTCTACATAAAATAGAAACACCATACAGTCTGTGTGCTTAAAAAAATATCTTATCTAACAATCATTATAGGAATATTATCTTCTTTCCTGAGTAAGAAAGTCAATTCTAGGGGTGGTGGTTAGCTCAGCAGTAGGCACTTGCCTGGCAAGTGCAGGGTCAAGAATTACCACAGTTATTTTCTATTTCTTGAGTCAATGAAAGCAACATTGCTCTGCTAAGCTAATACCCTCAGGCCAGGTTCTGGGGTCACTCTCCCCCCAAATAGTCAACACCAGTTCTAAGTCCTCAATTACTAAGCCTTCCAGGTTTTCTTTGGTACAATCTGCTTTTATAATCTTTACATTTCTCCTAATCTCTGTGGCAACAGTCTGAAGTTTTTCTAGCATCCAGCTAAGTGCAACATTGAAATCTTATCTTGTTAGCTTGAATGAATAAACTTGTCCAGTTCTGGCACTTGCCCTAGTGATAACCTTTTTTTGGTACCGAGGATCAAACTCATGCTTGCCAGGCAGGTGCTTGTCCCGCTGAGCTAAATCCCCAGGCCCTCCAGTGATAACTTTTTTATGCCTACACTTTTGTTGCCTTTTCTGTGTGTCTTGCTCAATTCTTTGTTCAGGACACCAAGAACCTGCCCACTGTCCCATGGATGGCAAGAAAGATAAGGCCCATATCTCTCCAGAAGCTCAGAAGAATACATTTGGAGAATCTCACACACTTCACTGGGAAGGCCAGAACATCAGCATCCAGTTCATAATTGGCTGGCTCCAAGGCAGGGTGGCTTGGCAGAGGGGCATCACAGAGAAGATACAGTTCATGGAGGGAGAAGATAGCAAAAGCAAACAAGCAAGGGACTTTGTCATTTTCTTAATCTTAGTTTGGCCAACTAAATTTACTCCTCTTGGCTAAACACAGGAAGTACCCCTGAGTTATATCCTTGATTCCAGGTCATTCTTGTTTCTGTTTATAAAAGATCTCTTTTGTCATGGTAACATTAAATCTTATCTGTAAAGAAGACATACAATAATTCACTACTTCCCTTCCAATGTTAAGAGTCTCTAAATCTAGTTGAATCTTTGTCCTATATTTTAGCTCAGTTCATCCCCTAGCCTCATCCATTGCTTCTGCTTTTTTTTTGTACCAGGAATTGAACTCACAACCTCATGTTTGCCATGCCAGCTATAATCCGTCTCTGCTTCTGTTTTTAAGTATCAGTCTTATACACAATGTAGAGTTTATATATAATCTCCAGTCCCCATTTTTAGTGCTTGTAATTTAATTTTTTGGTGAAATTACGTCTCTATTCTGGTTATGTAAATATGTGTATACTCGCATGTTTATTTTTCCAGTCTTACTTCTCTCCAGAATCTGAGTAGCATATAGATAATATTTGTTTTTGGAAGGATGTGGCAGCTTTAACTCTCACAGCAGCTTTCATTAAGGAGGCTAAATTCAGCACAAAACAACAAATTGCCAATTCTAGATTATTTGCCTACTTTGTTCAGCAGGTAATGGAGAGCTACATATTTATGTAGAAGTAAAATTTTCCAAAGCAATAGATTTCAGTTGGGGGAGTACCTCAGTGGTGGTCACCTTGCCTAGCATTCTCCCTATAGTACCTGTTAGACCATGATTACTGATTTTTACTAGAATTAACTGTTTATGCTTTTATTTTTCCCATTGATTAGGCCTGGAATTGAATTCAGGGCCTCATCCACCCAAGGCAAGTGTTCTCCACCGATCTACACCTCTTGCCCTTGTTTAGGAATTTTAGAGAACAAAGATTCTTTTAATTACAAATCCTCCATACATCCAATTCCTGCATACAACCAATAAACACAGAAGGTAGTGAAGGCCTGGGATTGGATAATCTGATTTAAACCCGACTGAATGTCAAAACTACAGAGATTTAGAAGAAATCATTTTAGAAAATTTATTCATTTATAAACAGGGAAAGTGAAGCCTAGAGAGTGTATTATTTGTAGCAGGTTGCTGACCCAGGAACAGAAAATACACGTCTTAATTTCCAAGTGGGACTCACTGCTGTCTTTGTGCAGCGCTTCGACGGTCAAGGCTCTTGGGTTCTCCGCTTCGCTTTCACCTCTGACCTTAAGTCTTCCTTTCGGCGACCCTATCCTTTCTTCCTAACCCCAGCTCAGGAGGGTTCAATTCCAATCGCAACGCTCCCAGGTGTCAGGAGTTGCTCGATTTCAGGAACTGGATTAGTTACGTCACCACCGGTTCCTCCCATTGGTCCAGGCGGGTGGGGCGGTGCCATGACGCCAGACGTCAAGGGGGCGGAGTGGCGAGGGGAAGGTGGAGGGAAGTAGGACTTCAACATGGCGGCTGGGGTATTGGCGGTGGCTACGGTGACGGCCTGGCCTGGGGTGGGAAGAGTGGAGGGTGGTGGCGTTTACTTTTCCTAGGGGCGTCGGGAGCTCAGCGGGGACCAAGCCTGGGAGGCTGGCGGTCGCCAGAACCTTTCAGTTTTGGGGACTGCACCGGTGTTCAGGTGAGGGGGCCTTTCTGGGGGAGGGGAAAGAGGGGCGGAGTTGGGGGAGGGGGCCAGTGCCGCGAGACTCGCGGAAGAGGGAACCTGGGGAGGGGGCTGTAGGCCTGGCTGGGCGAGCAGAGCTGGAGTTGCCCGGTGAGAGAAAAAAGGGGCCAACCCGAGATCGGCGACTTGGGGAGTATTCTGGGAGAAGAGTCGGAGTGACGGGACCGGAGTTGAAGGGGCGGAGGGCAGATCGGCTGCGGAAAATGACTTCGGATTAAGAGGACTAATACTCCTCCAGATGATAGGCGCAGTGGACACCTGCGGGCCTGGAGTTAGAGCTCGGTGGGAACTAGAGGATGTGGCGAAGACGGACCCAGATTTTAGTAAAGAAGGCGAATGCTGGCGAGTTGCGGGCGAGCTGGGAATGTGAGGGTTTAGTTGTCCTTGAGGCGGTGAAATTAGGGGGAAAGGGAGAGCATACCAGGGATGAACTCTTGGGGTATCTTTGGCATTGTCAAATCTTCTCCTGTAGGTGCTTATTTTTGCTTTTTTCTTGGGTGGAGACTTTACCGGACAAGGCCGCTGGGGCCTTAGTAACTGCCCCAAGTTTTCCTTGTGAAACCAAGTTACAGTTCGTTTATTTGATCAGTGTAAGTGCTATCTGACCTTTGTGTTGCTGCTGCATGTAATTGTTTCCAGATTAATCCTAGAAGTTAGTGGCTGGATAAAAATAGATTTTATTTTAAACGCGAATAAAAACTTGAGACTGTAGACTCCACGAAGTAGCGCAAAACCGGATTTGATATTAAAGTACTGTATTGTGCTCTAATCTCACTGATGTTTTAGCTCTATTGAGTTTTAATTATTAGTATTTGGATAGATGTGATGGGGGTTTTCCTGTTGAATTTTATCAGATTTGATGATGGGGAAACAGGGCATTTAGTTTACAGTAATAGATAGCTCTTTCTAGTTAATGTCCCAACCTAGTTAAACTGAAAGTTTCTGTATTTTATTCTATAGAAGAGTGTGAAATGTTCTATTTTCTGCATTAGCTTACTTTAAGTGGAATTTTATAAATTTATTTCTACACTATTTTACTCATTCTGTAATTTATTGAATGCCTACTGTTTTGGTAATTCATTATAATAATGGGGAGTTAGTGTTTCTGTAGTGAATATCTTTGTTACTGTCCAGCCAATAATTTAGTAACCTGCTCTGGCCTCATTGCAAAAAAAATCTTATTTTAGAAAGGAGTCAAAGGAATCAGAGTACTGTATGTGTCTATAAAAGTTTCTCAATTTCTCTTTTGTTTAGTATTTAAGACTCACTATCTCATCATGACATTTTATGTGTGTGTCTGCTTTTATTTTTTATTTTCATTTTGAAGAAGAGTATCCTGATAATATTAGTCTGTAGATAAGTCTCATCAATAGTTTTTAGTGCACATTTCCTTAGCAGGTATCACTAGGTTTTGTATATCTTTTATTCTCTTGACTAGTATTTAAAATGAGAGTCCTTCAAGTTTAATTTAATCATTAAAATTTTTTTTTATTGGTACTGGGGATCGAACTCACAACTGCGCGCTTACAAGGCAGGCACTTATGCCACTGAGCTAAATCCCCAGCCTATGAATAAAAATTCTTTTAGAATATTTTCGGCATTATAGATGTAATGTCTTTAGAGCATAAGTATTAGCATACTTTTTTGTTTTATTGTTTAATAGGATTGTTCAAATATAGATCACTTGAAGCATAAACTTTTTTCTCCATAGGTGAACCAAATGTGAATAAGATACCATTTGTCATTGATCAGGTAATTTGTACAGTCTTTCAAGAAATGCATTTTTCTAAGAAATGCTTGTTTACAACATTAAATAAGCTTTTTGTTGTTGTTGTTGCTTGAAACAGGGTCTTGCTGTGTAGTTGAAGCTGACCTTGAACTCATTGGCAGTCCTCCTGCCTCAGCCTCTCAAGTGCTAGGATTACAGACATGTGCCACCATGCTCAGCTTGAATAAGTGTTTTCTTAGAATCAAAAAGACTTTGAAATGAAAAGAAGCTTAGAAATCCCTTGGGCATAGTTTCCTACACAGTGTGGGAATTTCTATTTCTATACTGCAAAGACAAGTGAAGATTCATCCTCTTGTCCAGCTTTGATATAAGAGACATTAGGATTTTTGAGAATTTATTATAGGAAAAGTATTTTCTGTTAGAAAAAGAAGCAAGTGGTGGACTGTTTTTCCAGTTAGTAGTGTATGGTTTCCTGTAACATTGGGAAATAAGCTGAATGTAAAAATGATATTTTCCTATGAATTAATTGGGATTTATAACTTCAGACTTGAAAGAAGTTAGGTGAAGGCTGGGCTGAAGCTCCTGATAGAGCTCTTGTCTAGCATCTGTGAGGCCCTGGGTTCAGTACCCAGTGCTCTACTTTCCATCACCCACCCCTTCAGAAAGAGAGACAGTTAAATAAACAGCAATATTTACAAAGGGCAAGGTGTTAACACTGGAGAGTTAAACAGTAGGTAATGTTACTTAATCATTATAGTTTCAGTAGCTATGTAGCTTGGCTATGATATACATGCTGTTCATGCATTAAAGAACTAGGACCAGAGAGGTGGAGTAATTAAGATTACAGCTGTAAAATGGTACAAGCTATGCTGTTTTTTTGAGACAGGGCCTTCTGTGTAACTCAGTCTGGTCTGGAAGTTGCTGTGCAGCCCAGGCTAGCCTCCTGCTTTAGCTTCCTGAGTGGTGGTCTTACAGTATGCACCACCATGTTTGATCTAAAATCTGAATTTTAATTCAGTTCTGTCTGGTGTGAATGCTCATTCTGAATAGTACACCAGTTAGATGATCATGGGGTCATTCCAGTTCCTATAAAATAAAAATAATTTTTTCTTTCCCTGGCATTAGGGATTGAATTCAGGGCCTCATGTATGCTAGGCAGGTAAGAGACACCCTAGGCTCTTTTTATTTTATTTATGTATTTATTTTTTGGTACCAGGGAATTGAGCTCATGATCTCATGCTTGCCAGGCAAGCACTTGTGCTACTGAGCTAAATCCTTGGCCCTTTATTTTTATTTTTTGAGATGGGATCTAGTTATGTAGTCAAGGTTAGCTTGAACCATGTAGTCCAGGCTGGCCTTCATTTTTTCATCATTTTTTGTCATCATCATCATCAACAGCAGTAGTAGCAGTGCTGGAATTTGAACCTGGGAACTTTGCACTGAGCTACATCGCCAGCCCTTTTGTATTTTTATTTTGAGACATAGTCCTGCTAAATTAAGTAGGCCAGGCTCTAGTTTGCAATCCTGCCTCAGCCTCCTAGATTACTGAGATTACAGTTGTGTACCACTATGCCTGGTTTATTTTTATTTTGGGTAGGGTTTTGTTAAAACATCTTTTTATTAGCATGTGATTACATTCATCCTAGGGATTTAGGTTTTAGAGTTTATTTTATTTTATTTTATTTTTGTCTTTTTCCTTTTTATCGGTACCGGGGATTGAACCCACGACTGTCTGCTTGCAAGACAGGTGCTTATGCCGCTGAGCTAAATCCCCAGCCCCGGTTTTAGAGTTTATAATTATCCTGCTTCAGCCTCCTGAGTAAGTGGGATTATATGTGTGTGCCATGAGACTGGCCAAATGCACTGATTTTAGAGTAATGTTATTTTAAAACATTATTCTAGAGCGCTTACCTGTATCCCAGCACTTACGAGGCTGAGGCGGGAGCATTGCCTTGAATTCCAGGTCAGCCTGGGCTGTGTGTTAAGTTCAAGGCCAGCCTGAACTGCATTCTCACAGTTGAGAAACTGTGTCTCAACCCCTCTCCCTCAAAAAAAGGGAAAAGTCTCATGGTATCAGGTATTGGGGAGGAAGTGAAACAACTGAAGTACATACTGTTGGCTCATGATGCTTGACTCAGTAACCACATGATTCACAGCTACTGTGAGCCAATTCAGTGACTCAAAACAGTGGAAGTATATGGTAAGCATTAAGCAACTGATAATGACCAGCCCAGCATTTGGAGAACATATACAAATTACTGCCAGATACAAAATTTGACCCTTAATTTGGTCCAGCCTGACTCAGCAATATCAAAATGAACCCAACCTGACTCAGCAATATACTGTAAAAAAAAAAAACGTTCTACTATCCCAGTTTTCCTAATTTTTTTTGTGAGGTACAAAATATTCAGGTATTGATTTCCTGTAGAGTGCTGATGATATTGTAAGTACCTAAATTTCAGTGAACTGCTTTGATTCCAGCTTTATTGTTGGATGCCACCGCACCTGGCTTACAAAAAATATTTTTTAATAAGGTGTGTTTAAAATACTTTGTGCTAAGCATGTTTTCATATGTTCCTTGGCTATTTGTGCTTCTGTGAAATGTGTATTTGAGTCTTTTTATTTTGGATTTTTCTCTTTCTGATTAAGATTCTTTTTATTATTATTATTATTATTTTTTGGTGTTTTAGGGCTTGAACCCAGAGCCTTACACTGGGCTAAATTCCCAGCCCTTTTTTATATTTTTGCTTTGAGATAGGATCTTTTTTTTTTTTTTTTGTATTTTTACCGGTACTAGGGATCGAACTCACGACTACAGGCTTGCAAGGCAGGCGCTTATGCCGCTGAGCTAAATCCCCAGCCTTTGAGATAGGATCTTGATAAAGTCTCTTTAAGTTGCCCACGATGACCTCAGATTTGTGATCCTCCTGCCTAGGCCTCTCAGAGTGCTGGGATTTATGCATGTGTTTCACCATACCCAGCTCCAGCTGAGAATTTATATAGAGTTTGCCTACCTAGCATGTGTAAGACCTTGAGTTTGGTTCCCCAGCACTGAGGAAAAAAGGAAAGAAAAAGAGCTGGGGTTATAGGCATGAGCATGACACTCAGCTTTTTTTTTTTTTAAACCCTTTTATTTGAGGTGGAGGGTACATATCATTGTGTTATACTGACTGGCCTTGTACTCCTGGATTCAGGTGATCTTCCTGCCTCAGCCCCCTAAGTAGCAGGGTGGAACTAAAGATGTGCTATTGCTTTGAGCAAAATGAACTTTTTTTTTTTAACCTTTTTTTGGGGGGATGTTGGGAATTGAACTCAGGGTGTGATGCTTGTCAGGCAAGCATTGTGCCACTGAACTAAATCCTGCTTCCTGAACTAAATCCTCCCCTTCCTTCTCACTTACTTACTTTTTTCTGCCTTGTTGGTGATTGAACCTAGGACTTTACCATTGAGCTGGATCCCTGGCCCTTTTTGAATTTATTTTGGGGCACGGGCAAAGTCAGAAAATTGGCCAGGCTGGGCTTGATCGCTTATCTTCCTGGTTTAGCCTGTTGAACTTTTTTTTTCTTTGTCTTGTTGAGTCAGGGTCTTGCTATGCAGTTCAGATTGGCCTTGGGCCCAGGCTGGTCTCGAACTTGCAAACAGTCCTCCTGCCTCAACCTCCCAAGTGCTGGGATTACAGGAGTGTGCCACCACACACAGCTGAACTTTTGAGACAATGTCTTGCTAAGTAGCCCAGGCAAGACTTGAACTTCTGATCCTCTTTCCTCAACCTCCTAAGCATTGGGATTAAAGGCTTGTGCCACTCAATTTGTTCTTAAAATTTTTTTCTTTAAACTCTGCTCAGTTCCTCGGGTTTAAGTCTTATATCACTATAAACCCTAATCTCAAGTTATATCAGGCAGTCTTGGTGACCTTTGATTTTTTCATTCTGTATATTAAAGCTGCTTGTAATAGTTTATAAGAAGACCAGGAACTATTTTGACTTCAGAATTGTTTTTCTAAGGGGATGAATGTGTTTTTTGATCCTGGCAAGGATCACATTCAAACACAAAACATCCACAAGACTTTAAGTATGCTCTAAATACATATTGTATAGTCATGTACAGTATACCCTTGGCATTTGTGAAAGATGTCTTATAGATATTTGGGAATTCTTACATAACTACCATAATTTAGAATGTCTGTGTTGGGGATATAGCTCAGTGGCACAGTGGTGCCGGCAAGTGTAAGGTCCTGAGTTCAATTCCTGGTAACTGGGGGAAAAAAAACTAGAATCTCCCTCATTAAAGAACAGTATAATTGAACATTATGGTTAGCAATAGATTTGATGGTGCTGTGGTTTTGATGTGCTTCATTCTCCAAAGTAGTACTAGATGTATTAGATTAGACCATTGCTCTTGATGTGTGGAGATAGAGAGGCTGAAGAACCTTTATAAAAGTGGAGCCTAGAGCTGGGTGCGGTGGTGCACACCTGGTCCGAGGTAACTGCTAACATACAATAGAACCTCAGCACTTTGGGGCCTGAGACAGGAGGATTGCAGCCCCTTTGGGCTACATAGTTTACAGAGTGAGACTCTTATCTCAAATCTTCACACTCAAACACAAAAAACAAGAAGTGTAGTCTGGAGGTGGGGGTGGGGGGTGGGTCTTGAGTCATGGAGTATTGCTCTTGTCAGGGATTAAGTAGTGATCATTCCTGTGAGAGGAGACTGTCTTTTATGAAACAGTGAGTTCGGCTTCTCTCCAGCGTTCTGTCTCACCATAATTTCCATCTCCCTGTTCTTCTGTCATGATGTCATGCACTGTGCATTCCTTACCAGAGCTGGTATAATGTTGTTTGGATTTTCAGCCTCTAAAATTGTGAACCAAATAAGATTTTCGTTTTTTTTTTATTTCTTTCCTGGAGACAGGGTTCCATTACCTTCTCCAGGTTGGTGTTGAAACTCCTAGGCCCGAATGATCCCATGTGAGCCTCCCCAGAAGCTGCAGCAACAGACGCTTGCTGCTGCACCCAACTGTCTTT